GAAAATCGTTAGATTTATACTCTTACGTCGCCAGGCAACTTGCCATTCCTTTACCCACTACTTAGACCTTTCTCACCCTGTTCAGTGTGTTGTTTTTTTCAGTGTATAAAATATTTACTTAACTTAGAAAAAAATGAATACTCAGTTTGGGGGCGCTACCACAGAAGTTTCTGAACTACCTTTTATTTTCTGTAAATTAAACTTAAATAGTTGATTTTTTAAAAAGAAAAAAAAAAAGGATAATTTCCTAAAATCAGAATCCATTATATTTTTGCTCAATATTATGAGCATTCATTAAGAACTCACCCAATTGTCTCCATTTTAAAGCCCAAACCTGGCTAACAAACAAGGTGCAAAGAGAATACATGCGGGAACATGGGGGAAATTCCCTGATAAATACTGATTTCCTGCTTGCGAGGAGCAAAGCGTGACCAGTTCACACAGAGCAAGTTTTATCTCATGTGTACGTCATGTATGTATCAAGGAGCGCCATGCATCATCCTAACAGATGTGCATCTATGAAGGGTCTGCTCCTCATGCCCGAAACCCCAAAGTGTTTCAACAGGGGAGGTTAGAGGCAAATCCCATAAGCAGGAAAGGCATTTTGTGACAAAGTATTCTGTATGTCATGTACAACGAAATCTGATTTAATAAAAACCCCACTTACTACTTAGGACTTTGTATAGAGATAAAAATAGATCTACTTCTCGCATGCCCAACCACATCTAACGAAAGAGATACTTAGAGATTTACAGTATGTGTGACTCTCTGAGTCAACTCTCAGATTGGGTTGAACAAGTCTCACTAAGGCATCATAATTACCTACAACAGAGTGATGTTTTGTCGGACAATTACAGTTCTAATAGATATTGTGACTTGGTAATGATTTAGACCTGTCTCTCAGCCCCTCCTCGCTTTCGCGCCCAGTCATTGTCCTGTACCATATTCTCGGTGTTCCTGGGCTATTGGCGCAGTGCCACTGCACTGCCTAGACTGTAGAATTTGATTCTCTGTGTTGAGTCATCCAGCTTTCGTAGGTTGATGAGAGTTAATTATGATTGTCTATATAAGTGCTTATTGGCGCTTTACATTTATGCTAGATCTGCAGGTTCTGCTCTAAGTGGGGACTTGAAAGCTGCTTTTAATTAATGTGGGTGCTATAGATTGTATCTTAGTTACCCTTCTTGGCTTATAATTAGTGTGTTCAGTAGTATAGGTTGGTATCGTTAATAACAAGGTTATTATCTTATATAAGATGTTTTTAATCACGTTAGTTCTGACTTGAATATTACTCCATTGGTTTAGCATATATCTTCTCCACCACTTTAATAAGGAAAGAGCATGCTTAATATAGTAAATATAAAGAATAGTTGTTGAAATATGTTTTTAAAATTGGCATTTATCTAGGAAGTCGTAAGATCTCTCTCTTGGTTGTTTTTAAATTTTTTTGCTTACAGCCAGACATGGCGGCACATACCTGTAGTCCCAGCTATTCATGACCCCGAGGCAGGAGGATTACTGAGCCCAGGAGGTTGAGGCTATAGTGTTCTGTGATCACACCTGTGAATAGCCACTGCACTCTGCCTGGCCAACATAGAGAGATCCTGTTTCTGAAAAATAAATAATGAATTGACATACAATAAAATTCACCCATTTTCAGTGTACACAATGAATTTAGACAAATGTATCCATAGTGTAGCTTGCACCATGATCCAGAGATAGAATATTTTGATTACTCCAGAAGGTTTTCTTTTGCCTGTATGTATCAGTTCCCTCCTACCCCTATCCTTTGATAACACTGGTCTGTTTTCTGTCTCTGCAGTTTTCAAAAACTTCTTTGGAATGTCAAGTAAATGGAATCATATAGTATGTAGTGTGTTACATTTAGCTGCTTTCATAGCAGAATGCTTTTTAGATCCATCTGTGTTGTTGGGTTTATTCCTTTTATCTCTCACTAGTATTCCATTGTATGAATATACCACAATTTCTTTAACCATTCACCAGTTGATAGACATTTAGGTTTCCAGTTTGGGGTTATTAAGAATAAACTGACCATGTGCATTCATATGCTAGTCTACATGAACACATGCTTTTTTCATTTCCCTTGGGTGAAATCCTACCTATGAGTGGGATATTGGGTCAGATAGTAACTTTTAACTCTCTAAGAAACTGAGTATTTTCTAAAGTGCCTATACCATTTTGCATTCTCACCAGGTTCGTATAAGAGTTCTAATTGTTCTATATCTTTGCTGGCCTTTCTTAAAAACTGTAGCCATTTTAGTGAGTATGTAGTAGTATTTTATTGTGCCCTTTTTAATTTAGATTTCCCTAATAACTGATGATTTTGTGCATCTTTTCATATACTTATTGACCATTCACATATCTTCTTTGATGAAGTGTCTGCTAAAATCATTTACCCAATTTTCTTATTGGGTGGTGTGTCTTACTATTGAGTTGTAAGAGTTCTTTATATCTTCTGAGGACAAGTCCCTTGTCACATACGTGTTTCGTAAATATTCTGTTCAAGTCTGTGGTTTCTCTTTTGTTTTCTTTACAATGTCTTTTAAAGAACAGAAGATTTAAATTTTGATAAAATCTAATTTGTCATTTTTAAATGTTATGGTTCATGCTTTTTACAGTCTAAGAAATCCTTGCCTAATTTAAGGTCACAAAGAATTTCTCCTGTTTTCTTTGAAAAGTTTTATGGTTTTAGCCCATACCTTTTTTTTTTTTTTTTTTTTTTGAGACAGAGTCTCACTCTGTTGCCCCGGGTAGAGTGCTGTGGCATCAGCCTCGCTCACAGCAACCTCAAACTCCTATAGCCCTTACCTATTTTGAGTTAATTTTTGTATATGGTGTGAGGTAAGGGTCTAGGCTCTTTTTGTTTGTTTTGTTTTGTATCATTTTGCATATTTTTCAATCACTATTTACTGAATAGACTGTTCTTTCCCTATTAAATTACCTAGGCAGCTCTGTTGAAAATAATTGACCTAATGTGCATGGCCTATTTCTGGACTTGATTCTGTTCCATTGATCTGTGTCTCCATCATTACACTGGTACCACACTGTCCTAATATAATTTATAGCTTTTTGAAATCAAATAGTGTGAGTCCCCCAGCTCTGGTCCTGATTCTCAAAATTGTTGTGACTATTCTAAGTCCATTTCATTTCCTAGTACATTTTAGAATCAGCTTGTCAGTTTCCTCAAAGGAAGCCCTTGAAACCCTTGACTATTCGTGTGATGAGTAATATTACTAGTAGTATGGTTACTAGTATCTGTCCTTAGTAGTCCTAGAATAAACCATTCTTGATCATTGTTTATGTTCCTTTGTTTTGCAATGTATTCAATTTGACCTTCTATATCTATATTTATATGTAAGATGTAACCACATTTGCTTTTATTTTGCTTTCCCTTTTTCATGCTATCTTCACCAGTTTGGGTACTCAGTGTTATGATAACTTTATAAAATAAATGATAAAATAATCACAACTTTCTCTTTCCCTAAAGCAGTTATGTAGTAAGGGAATCAAATGTTCCTTAGAAATTTATTTTTTATTTTTATTTATTTATTTTTGGAAACAGAGTCTTACTCTGTCACCTGGGCTAGAGTGCCATGGCATCAGCCTCGCTCACTGCAACCTCAAACTCCTCAGCTCAGGCAATCCTCCTGCCTTAGCTTCCCAAGTAGCTGGGACTACAAGAGTACACCACCACACCTGGCTAATATTTACTGTTTTTAGTAGAGACAGGGTCTCGGTCTTACTCAGGCTGGTCTCTAACTCCTGAGCTCAAGTGATCCTCCCACCTTGGCCTCCCAGAGTGCTAGGATTATAGGTGTGAGCCACCGTGTCCAGCCTTTCGTTAGAAATTTATAAAACATAAGACCAATCTAGCATTTTTAAAGAATTCAACTTCATTATTTTTTGTGATTGTGATCTGTTCAAGTTTCCTCTTGTTTTTTTTCTTGAATGCATTTCTGTTTTCCTAGAGAGTCATCAATATTATTCAGATTTTCAAATCTATCTGTATGGGCCTGGGTATAGTATTCCCTTGAAGCTATTAAAATCTCTCATATCTCAGATTATTTAGAATAGCTGTTTAAAGTTCTAAATGAGGTTTCATTAGTTTCCTTTCATTAATAATGTATAATTATCTTATAGTCCAGGAAAGTAACCTATTTTATTGTTACTTTCTTAAAATTTATTGAGGCTTTTTATTTGAGGAAATAGATCTTGTCTATTTTTGTAACCAATTCATGGATACTTGGCAGGACACACTGTCTTATTATTTTATTATAGTGTTCATATCCTTATTTGTTTTCAATTTTCTCTTTTTAATTTATTTTTAGGGCAAGTTTATTCGGATCAACTTTGATGTAACTGGCTATATCGTTGGGGCCAACATTGAAACATGTATCCTTTTTCATAATTACATAATCCACAATAAAGAATGATTTAGTCTTAGACAGCCTCCTGGTAACCCTCTGTGATATCACTTCATTATCTAGATGATAAAACTTAAGCCCCAAGATATTGTGGCTTTTTGAAATACTTTTAGCCTCTGAATATTAACTCCAAAATTCTTGTTGTTTTTGTTGCTGTTGTTTGTTTTTAATACTAGGCCAGAACCTATTCACGTGGCTGGGGAAGTGGAGAGAACCACATTTAGATGAATGCTGCATGCTGTTGTATTTGCCCATTTTTTTTACCATCTAGTTCTACTGATATTGGTATAATGAGCATGTACTCACTGAAACAGGCCTTATAGAATTACAGCATTGAAGTCGTTTCAGTTAGTGTTAAGTATTATAGAATATTGACATTTGCCATTGGGACTGAAAAAAAGAAAAGAAAAAAAAAAGAAGTATTAATAGAATAAAGCTAGAGAAAAAAGAAATCAAATACATAGAATAATCCTAAGAAATGTCACCTGCACAAATTGACTTCTAGAAATGCCTGCATAGAAATGATTCTGAATGACAGTATACCAGTTAGAAAGGGATACAGATGACAACTCCCTGCTTCTTGTTAGAAGAATCTCCAGTGACAGAAATACATTGTTTTTCTCCCTCAGGTGAGGGATAGATCAAGATTTTTCTAGTTAATTTTTTTCCATTTATTTGTATCTATTGAAGAGGTACAAGTGCTATTTTGCTATGTTGATATGTTGCATTGTGGTGAAGTCAGGATCTGGTTAATTAAGAACAGTATTTCATGTCTCTAAATATGCTCAGTATCAGCAAAACCAGGAAATACTTGAAAATAACAGGACTCTATGGTTTACCTTTCTTCATATTGGTCCATTATAGCATCATTCATATGAATGTACTTTTCACCAGATGTGGAGGATGTGTTTGGGATTTGATTTAAAATTTAGGTTGTCTGGCATGTACAGAATTAATTCACCTTGCTGGCCCCATCGAAGGTTTACCTCAAAAGAAACAATCATTTTCCAAAGCTATGAAACAGATTCTGTGAGAGCCCAGTGTGACTGTCAACTGATAGCCACTCCAGAAGCATCAAGACACTGTGGACCAAGGATCCAAACAAGTCCCGGATCTGCACCCAAAATGCAGTCATGTGTGCGGTGGTCTTAAGTGCAGGAGCTGAGTGGGTTCTTCAGAGCAGCGAAGGGAAGGCCAGTGGTTAATCCCGTCATTGGGAAAGGCATTTGGAAAAGTCACGCAAGGGGCTGAATGTAAAGGGGCTGGCACCTAGCATGCGAGCGGCTTGCAATAAAGGGGGCTGTTGTGACATAGTTGTCCAGCTCATGCATTTTGGAGTCAAGCCAAGTTTTGATTCCCAACTCTACCACTTCTTAACTATGTCATTGTGACTAATTTCTTTGTGCCTTGGTTTCCTTATTTGTAAAATTGTGACAATAATTCTAATATTATAGAGCTTCTCCTGCCTTCTTACAGTTCCATGTAGGATGCAGTGTTCTTTTTTTTTTTTTTGAGACAGAGTCTCGCTTTGTTGCCTAGGCTAGAGTGCCATGGCGTCAGCCTAGCTCACAGCAACCTCAAACTCCTGGGCTCAAGCAATCCTGCTGCCTCAGCCTCCTGAGTAGCTGGGACTACAGATATGCACCACCATGCCCAGCTAATTTTTTCTATATATATTAGTTGGCCAATTAATTTCTTTCTATTTATAGTAGAGACGGGGTCTTGCTCTTGTTCAGGCTAGTTTCTAACTTCCTGACCTCAAGCAATCTGACCGCCTCGGCCTCCCAGAGTGCTAGGATTACAGGCATGAGCCACCACACCCAGCCAAGGGTGCAGTGTTCTTTGAATGTAATCCAAGTTAGGGGTGGGTGGGGTGGGGTGAGGGAAGCACTCTATAAACTTTAAGTTCCCTCTCAATCCAGTGATTCCGAAAGATTAGTGAGAAACATTAATTGCAGATGTTTTCTTTTTTCACATACAGAGTACAATCATTTAGAATGGTTCTTTGCAGAATAGTTGATACATATCACAGAAAGAAAACATTTTATAAATTACATTTGTATAGACACTAAAAGAGGACCTTGTTTTAAGTAATTTAGTTCTTAACCGTCGTTGCTCAGACCTTCTGGAAAAGTCTCGTGCTGTTCGTCAAGCAAAAGATGAGCGTACCTTCCATATCTTTTACCAGTTGTTATCTGGAGCAGGAGAACACCTAAAGTGTAAGTTACAAATGTTTTACTATTTATTTTATATTCACTTGAATATCTTGTTTAATACTAAATTTTTTTGAGAGGGAGAACAATTTTAGGAAACAATTTTTTATATACACACACACCAAATTTCTAGCTGGTTAAATCATGAAAATCAAAATGAAATTGAACTTCCATGCTGTGGGGTAAGTACTTTAAGTGGCAGGTATATGGGTATTATATACTTTTACATTTCTTATTAAAAAATTTTTTTTAATCAGAAGAAAAATGATACCTATTTATATAATTTTGTTTCAACATTTATAAATAAAAAAAGGAAAAATAAATTTCTTAATAAAATTCAATAGAATAAATATTTCTATTCCTAGATTTATAACTGGAATATATATGTTATACTTCCACTAGTACTAGAGAGAGCCTATGGCGGATATTTATTTATTTATTATAATGAATCACAAAGACTAGAAGCTTAGGGTTGGGCAGGCTCAAAAATAGAGTTCTGGTCTGGGTCAGAATTTTGCTGAGTCAGAAATAATAAGAGAGAGAGGCAATAATGTACAACTTCCAGACTCTTCTGAGTGTCAATGTTGCTTCTATATGATTATCATTTATATTAGTAGATATCGCAGTGGACACATATACAGTACTATTTGGTAACTTTTCTTATCTGGGGTCTAGGCTTTTGTTAAGCACAGACATTTGTGAAAGCATTGAACCCAAAGTTAATTAAGGAAAAATCTACAAGGAAAAAAAATAAGCAACAAATAAATACTTGCCAAGCAACTAAAAATTCAAGATCATGTAATATGCAATGCCGAAGAGAACTCTTAGGCTTTCAGACTGGTAATACCTGCAGTAGGAAGGAATCAAAAAAATATGATCAAAATGTTGAAAGAGGATAAAAAAAGAAAGCAGGAGGCGGCCCCCAGTAGATGTTAAATATGATGTAAACGAGAATTAGAGGATGGAGCGACCAGCAAAAATTCTCTGTAGAACAAGAGAGCTAATAAGCAAAACGCGTCACAAACACATTCTCAAGTCTGTTATAGGGGATAAATAGTTCTGTCTGTTTTGAGCACTCCTAAGTGTTCTTCTGCTCTCAAAAGCACATTTTTTTCAAACAGTAAGTTCTCTTTAATTTGTGGCCCCTACAGTCCAAGTAGTCACTGGGAGTATCCAGTGTAATATCCTGTCATAATATCACATGTTGCTCATCACTCTAAAGGCAAGTAGGCCACTAAACAGGTTGGCTTGGAGAGTATTTCAGGGCCTTCACTGAGCTCAAGACTTGCTGGTCCACATGTTACCCCTCCTACATCCATATCTTTATCTTATCCATGGTAGTTTCCATATTGACCCGGAAATGTTTGCTATGAACTACTTGCTAAGATAAGAATTTAGAATGTGAGTTTAAAAGCTGTCCTTCAAAAGATGGCTAAAACATTTAAATCTGAAAACAATGAAGTTTAGTTACCTGGAAAATTTACATCATTTCCCATCTATTCAATTTCAAAGTAGAATATTGTACAAACTGCCATCCCAAAAACTCCTATTGAGGTTTTTGTATTGTTTACATCATTATCCCTCATTAGTACAAATAATGGAAATTTGTATATGTTTTTGTATTTCCATGAATATACAAAGAAAGAAAAAGTATGTGCCGGTGATGGGTTGGATGGGAACTCCTGTTTTCCTGTGATATCTGCACAGTGTGAATGTGGGTGTGCTTTAGTCTGTTTATGAGTGTTCATTAAATTTTATTCCATTATATTTCCTTTTAGCTGATTTGCTCCTGGAAGGATTTAATAACTACAGATTTCTCTCCAATGGCTATATTCCTATTCCTGGGCAGCAAGACAAAGATAACTTTCAGGAGACAATGGAAGCAATGCACATAATGGGCTTCTCTCACGAAGAGATTCTGTGTATGTGAGATTTCTCCAAGGTTCTGATATTCTTCCTAAGCCTTATAAATTGGGGGTTAATAACCTAAACTAGAAAATGATTGGGAAACTAATGAGAACTGCCTATACTTTTATGAAATCCTGAAACATAGCTTACTGAAAAGTTTTGTATAGCTAATCTTCAGCACAAAATAAATTAGAATCTGTCTCTGCTACATTTTGATGTAATTTCTTTTTCTTTTTATTAATATGAAGCGATGCTTAAAGTAGTATCTTCAGTGCTACAGTTTGGAAATATTTCTTTCAAAAAGGAAAGAAATACTGATCAAGCTTCCATGCCAGAAAATACAGGTAAACTGATGATTACTGACTTTATTTCCCTTTTGATGGCTTGTGTTCTCTGAGAACATGTTACAGTGCAAGCATAAATGCATCTCTGAAGCATTCCCCAAGGGATTCTTAAGAGTAGCATATGGTCTCACATGTCTACATGGTTCCATAAATGAGGGCAGAGGACTGGGTGTAGGATGAAAAGTGGCAGTGGCTTCTCTGCCTTGGCGCGGGGGAGACATTAGGAACTGGTGAGAGGAGAGCTGAGCTGCAGGAGTCCACACAGCTTACCCAAGAGGGAGTTGCAACTTCTGACTTCCAGCCAGTTTTTACCTTGCCAGAAATACAGGCCTAGTGTAGCCAAATATAATTGATTTTTCAAAGAAAGATGGAAATCTATATTTTAATATGAAAATTTCCCATTTTTAATGTTGAAAATGGATTTAAATTTGCACTGGTCAGGAATAACAGTGTGTAAACCAAAGATAAAGATGTTTGCAAGCCTTGTGAGCTGTCAGTTTGCTCCCAGTGGTCTGGAAACAAAAAGAAAATGAGGAATTTCTATATTGCCTAGAATGCTTGATTGCTTGAATAAATTATCTTGCCTCACAGGGGCATCCACAATCCACTGTGGCCAGTGAAGGCTGACATAAAGTCACATTTTCTGCCCTTGAAATAGTCCTTCTTTATAAACAGTGTGATGCTTGATAACAATTTAATTCTGTTTGGCTCTTCTAAGGTACCGCCTCTCCTGCTGCATCATGGGCACCATTTTCTGACCAACCTGTGGCACATCATCTTAGAGCTTTTGACTTCCAAGACCATTACTTGTATCATTTAATCAAAGTAGTTTAATTGGCATATGGGCCTATGTTCTCCATATGGATTTCATGTGGATAAATAAGACTTAAAATAGAGCAATTAAAGATTTAGAGTAGGGCATGTATTAGTATAGCCTGGCTTTGAAATCTTAAAATGACCCAGAGATAAAAGAGAATTAGGTCACTCTTCCAAAAGTCAAGGTGGCCAGGTGTGGTATGCACTCGTAGTCCCAGCTACTCAGGAGGCTGAGGCAGGAGGATCACTTGAGCCCAGGAGTTCTGGGCTGTAGTGTGCTATGCCAGCTGGGTGTCCGCACTAAGTTTGGCATCAGTGTGGTGACCTCACATGAGCAGGGGACCACCAGGTTGCATAAGGGAGGGATGAATAGGCCCAGGTCAGAAATGGAGCAGGTCAAAACTCCTGTGCTGATCAGTAGTGGAATCTTGCCTGTAAATAGCCACTGCCCTCCAGCCTGGGCAACATAGCAAGACCCCATCTCTAAAAAAAATAAAAATAAAAAATAAAATAAAAGACAAAGTGGGCAAATGCTGAGATGGCAAATACATTTCTTAGAGCCTAAAAATGAGTGTATATTAATTTGAAACGATGGAAGGTATTTTTTATCAGGCCTAATTAAGACATATTTAGTTTATTTCTTAAAACAATTTAATTATTACTGAGGTTTTTCAAGTGTTATGTTGTAACTAGGTTATAAGTAGAAATGCAGTATTTAGGAGACATTTTATACTTTAGTTGCACAGAAGCTCTGCCATCTTCTTGGGATGAATGTGATGGAGTTTACTCGGGCTATACTTACCCCCAGGATCAAGGTCGGCCGAGACTACGTGCAAAAAGCCCAGACCAAAGAACAAGTAAGTTTAATATTAATTGTTATTATAGATTTGTTTGAGTGATAAGCCATGGTCATTTGACCTTCTGATTGACATATAACAAAGTGAATCAATATAAATTCTCTTATTGATGTTTCTTGGTACTAATTAAGTATTTTTTTCTTTAGTATATTTACTGTTTCTCAGAAAATTTTAAAAAGTGTTTTTTTTTTTTTTAAAAGTAAATTTGAAATATCCTCTCCAGTTTTTCCCTGGGTAGATAGATAATACAGTAGACAAAGCTGCACGCTTCAGAAACCATGGCAGCAGGAGGGCTGCTGCTGCCTTGTCCCTGTGCTGGGTGTACAGCAATAAGAACAGAGAAATCACATTTGTCCATTTAATAGTGGACTGTTTTAAGAAACACATTAATAGTTTTGATGAAGGAGCTTGGAAGGCAATTCTAACTGAGCTAACTATGCAGAATACGCTGCTCAGAACCCCGGGGCATGAGGAGTTTGTTCTTACCGGGAGTCTTTACCCATCCTCTAAATTGATTATGCCCAGTTTCATGTAATTGTACTAATAACACCATCTGTTGATGTATAAAATTGAGACACAATTAAGCAGTAAATGCTATTTCATGTTTTTTGAGTCCTGTATAATATTAAACTCCATATAATAGCTATGAATGCTTTGTCAAGACTGTTTCTAGAATAAAAGGTCGATGTTTAATTATAGGCAGATTTTGCAGTAGAAGCGTTGGCAAAAGCTACCTATGAGCGGCTCTTTCGCTGGCTCGTTCACCGGATCAATAAAGCTCTGGATAGGACCAAACGTCAGGGAGCATCTTTCATTGGAATCCTGGATATTGCTGGCTTTGAAATTTTTGAGGTATTCCTCCCCCTCTCCCTTCCCCCACTTGTCCTTCATTTTATTTCATCTTTTAACAAATATTAAGGCTCATGGTATATCAGGTCCAGTGCTAGGCACCAGGATTACAATGGCAAATAAGCAGATCACCAAACTCACAGGTTTGTGAATACTGTAGTGAAAGGTGCTGAGGTGGAAAGAAGTAGGAGACCAACTTGAGACGGCGTAGTATTCAGAGAAGGTGTCTCTGCAGGGTAACAGGAGTACTTGAAGCATGAGAAGCGGCCAGCCTCAGTACGTTTTCCTGGCGTAATGAGAGAAAGCCCAGTGGTCCTGTGTGGGAGAGAATTTGTCAAATGTTAGAAGCTGCTAGAAAGCCAGTGTCACTAGACATAGGTGAGCTGACTAAAGGGAGAGAGGAGTTAGAGACATGGGTGTGGTACGGGGCCAGAGTAGAAAGGCCATGGAGGAGACCATTGCATAGACCAGGGCAGGGTGATGGTGGCTTGGCCTGGGGTTCAGGGGAATGGCAGCGTAAGGAGGAGACGTGGAAAGGTGATGATCTATGTCCCGCAGGTTATATAACCTGGTTTTGGCTATAGGCTTTAATACATTTTATTGTGTTGTTTTTTTTGTTTTGTTTTAATTTAAGTTTAAAAATCTTTAAATTTTAAGTTTATTTTTTCTTATTTTTCTTTTCTATCCCCCATTGATTGTCAGTTTCACATTTTATTGTTGATTTGACTAGATTTGTCCACATATTTACTCACCATCAAGGCAGCAAAGGTTCACAATCACACACCTGCTGTGGTTCTGCAGAGAAGCTGATAAAATTTTGGTCTTCTAAAAATTATATCTATCTCTATAAGTATAGATACAGATAGATACTATATTCTTTCTTATAGGTATAGTTTGTCTGTCTTCTTTGATAGACTATATAGTAAGGCACAATGCTTCTTGTGATCGGTGTGTTACTTTGGCTACTATTGGGTATTGCATCGTCTTGTTTTAAAATGAACCCCTATAAATTGATGAGTTTTATAAGTATATCTTCATAAAAACTGAACTATTACTATGATAAGTGGTTTCATCCACTCGACTGCCACTGCCACTCTGAGAGATTGTTTTAATATGTATTGATTTGTAAATTACTTGAGAAACCATGAAAAGTGGCTGGGTACAAATTGCATTTTTTTTTTAAATCTGCTGCATTCCTCTATATAAATAATCAGAAGATATAATGAAAGGGAAGACCCCCATTTCCAACTGCAACAAAAACAGACAAAATACCTAAAAATAAATTTAAGAAGAAACAGGCAAGATTTAAATGAAGACTTTACAATCCTACTGCCAAAACAAAAGAAAACTTGAACAAATGAAGAGATATACCCTGTTCTTGGTGGGAAAATTTCACAAAATTTATCTGTCAATGGAACATACTTGTTTAAAACCTATTAACAGTAATTTTAAGAGAAAGAAGGGACTAGACAACCTTCTTCTAAAATTAATGTAAAAAATAAATTAATAAAAATAAAGAATAGACTTTAAAATTGTGGAGAAAAGTGAGAATGTTCAAAGATATAAAACATCATATAGCTATAGAACTTTAAGAAGTATGATTTTAACATGTGACCAGACAGACAGTAGAAAAATGTATATAGATGCTAAAAATGCAGAGTTGTTTTGTGAGCATTATTTGTCATGAGAAAAGAATAGAAAAGGCTTAAATGTCCATCATTAGGAGATTGGTTCATTTTATCATGATGCGTCCATGCAGTGGAATACTATGCACCCATTATAAAGAAATGAGGTGGCTTTATACACTGATCTGGAAAGACGCCAAGATACATTGTTAAATTTAAAAATATTAAGGTCTCATGCACACACATATTTGTGAGTGCATAGAATATTTCTGGAAGGATCACAAGAAATAGGTGGTGGTACTGGTTAACTATAAGGAGAACAATTAGGGGACGGAAGTGAAACTGACGTCTCAATGCAACTCTTGGTACATTTTACACTATTCCTTATCAGTCTAAAAATCAATTACTTAAAAAATATAGTTGGTAGCTTAAATATGGAAGACAAGTATACATGTATTAAAAGAAAATACCATTATATGTAGTAGCCCAGACTAAATAGAGCTATAGGATGTCATAATCCTGAAGCAAAGCAAAATCCATTTATATAAACATGAATAAGCACAATCAGGCAGTTTGTAAATATTTATGTGGCTTGCTCTATGTGCCAGTTACTAGGAATACAGTGTTGAGTAAGGCAAACACTGCTCTGCTCTCCTAGCATGACCTCATTCTAAAATAGTGAATATTACAGCTCCCTGAGGATGAGGAAGATTGGAGTGGCTTTATCAGACTCCTTGGAGATTGATTAAACCCTTTCTAATTGAAAATCACTTTTTATAATAAAAGCAATTATTTATGGGCATATGCTGCTTATATAAACAATGTAGAGGCAGAAAACTTGAACACTTTTAGCGTGTAAGATGATTAAGAAAATTAAGTAAAATTAGTTCATCCACTTATCAGTTCATCCAGTCCACAACACAATAGAAAAATGGGCAGGTTCACAGAGAAGGAATGGAAATGACTAACTTGAAAAGATGCTCAAATTCACTCTATGAGAGCAGTGCAGTATCATTTTTGGTATGGACAAAGGTGAGACATTTGATAAGAGAAGGGAATGCATACAAAAGCAATGCAGAGCCTCACACTTACTAAGCTCACTCTGTGCGTCAGGCCAGGTAAGCTCCCAAAAACAATCGGATGAACTAAAGATGATTCTTTTCATACCTCGTTCTGGAGCCAGCGGTCTCAGCAGAGAGTAAAGTGGGACAGAGCTACACACATTCTAGATTTTCCCAGCCCAGACATGCTCACCCATTACCTGCTCACCTCGATTTGCCTCTGGCCTTCCAAAGTCTCCTCATTTTTCTTCTTTTTGTTATTTTGTGTCTCATTTTTTTCATTTTTGTTCCTTAACCATTCACTAATAAGATCTGAATTGTTTCATTTGTAGAGCATTCAGTTAGCATACTAAGTTAAGTTTATTATTTTTTCATTTTAGCAGTTCAGTAATGTGGCCATATATATAGTATTGTTATTAAATATTTCTCTTTACCTTTTCAAAAAGGCTGTCCGAGTCTCTCTGTGTGTGTGTGTGTGTGTGTGTGTATGTGTGTGAGAGAGAGAGAGAGAGAGAGAGAGAGAGAGAGAGAGAGA